AAGCGCAGTGTCGCTGGCAGCACTCCCTTGCACCAGGTCAGCAAAACCCTCGCTGGCCGAGCCTAAATCCCTCCAAGACCATAATACTCTGTCCCTGGGCTGGAAGATGAGCTCTGGGGATGTTTGGGACCATATGCACCATCGTGCAGCGTTAGATGGGTTTAATGTGGCATCAGAGGTGCCAGCACTCCCCAGAACAGGCAGGGTTTGCAATCCCTCGAAAAAGCCACTGTCACAGGCTTTGGCCAATGACTCTCCCATAGCCCAAATGGGGAAGATGTGGGAACCACCCCATAGCCCCCCCAGCAGTGGGAGCAGTCCTATGAGTAGGGGAACGGGCGAGGGGGACTCATTCACCTCCGGGATAGAAAGCAGCTGCTGGTGCTGGGGATTTTCACCCCTCCCTCCACTGGGCACGGAGAGGGCAAAGGCTGCTGCGGTGCCCATGCGGAAATGGCACCGAGGCTGTCGGCATTACACAACCAGGCTGTGCTGCGCAGCCAGCTTCCCCGAGCAGAGCGGGGTTTTCTTATCAGCCAAGGCTGCCCTCAGACCCACGCTGCGATGCGGCACAACCAGTTTCTTTCTCCCTGGAAAACTCCTGGGCTGCGACACGCCAAAATCTCCCAGCCTGGCACGATGGTTTGCGGGGAGCTCAGCTTCCCGCACTGTGCAGCCCCCCACTTGCCCCATCAGAGAGGAAATGGCTTTTGCTTTATCAAACCCTTTCTGCTGAGCTCAGAAAAACATGTTTCGCACCCAGAGCAAGACCCAGCCAACACAAAACAGACGCTGGGGGAGGAGGGGAGGGTTGGCAGTGAACTCCCTAAACCCACAGGTTGCCCCAACTTGCTCTGCTGCAGCTTGAGGTATGGCAGGCTGGAAAACACTGACGATCCCTCCCGTATCTTGGAAAAGCTCACAAATCCCAGCGGATGAACTTCTGCTCCATCCTCTAAAGGTTCGGCAGCACTGACCTGCCTCGGGGCCTCGTGCCCCCACGGACACCCCGATGCCACGCTCCGGCGTGCCCTGCGCCGCGGGCGCAGCTGGGGAAGCTTCTGTGGATGTGGTGCCAGGGAGCCTGTGGGGCTGCCCCTGGGACGGGCTATGAGGTGCACTCCTTCGGGAGGGAGTAGGCTCCCAGGGATGGGCTGCAGCTCCCGGGACGGGCTGGAGCCCCGTGGGCTGGGGTGTGGGTGCACTCCCGGGGGCTGGGATGTAGCAAGCCCCGGGAGCATCTCCCGGT